ATATAAGGTTAGTTTTAACAACATGAAATTTAGTATACCAATTCCAATATTGTAATAGTAATTTTATAATAAAGCTGGTGTGTCCATTTAAGCTTCCCTATGGTGATATGGATTGGCTATTGAAATTGATTATATAATGTGCTTGTATGTAGCTGGATTTCTACATGACATGAACAAGCCACTGTAAAGGTAATTCAGCAATATGATCACCTTTGGCGCAAATGCATCCAAATGGTGCCATGTTGTATTTGCATGTATTTACTGCATACTGCCACCATGGCCGCCACTGAAACAATATTATTTGGATAATAAACCGCAGTAAATGTACATTCTGGAACATCAAACACAAAATGATCACTGATTTTACATATCCTTCATCCCATATCCCATGTATAATTGACAGAGCTTCAGGCAAACACATGCAGCAACTGGCTGTAGGTGCACAGGCTCACTGGGATCTGCCTTCTCCCTTCCAGTCATACAAACACATACACTACTCTTCACTGTAATCTTTGCTGAACTACAACAAGCTTTATTGGTACCAGATAAGGTCAGACAAACATTCTCTCTTCCATTAGGCAGACTCCATCCTTCCCTCCGACACGTTTCACCCGATGAGCTTAATGAGGTGGGTCCGCCAAGGGGGTAGGAACCTCTATACTGCATGCTAGATCTCATAATGCATCAATGTTGAGGCAGCAATATCCACTCCAATTCATAAAGAAACAACACATAAAAGTGATATCTACCACAATCAAATCATGAAAGCATTTTACAACTACATAGCTGAGCAATAATCCTAAGAATACATAGACTGTGGTATAGTATATAAATATATAGCTTATGTTGCAACCCCTGGTGACAAAACTGTCCAAATCACAAGAACTTTTGTTAAACGAAATTGAGCTTTATCAGAAATTCCCCCTAAAATAAAAACATTCTATAACTCCTACATTCTCTAACTCCTATTTTTTACCATATGTTTCTTATTTCATGATTCTCACTGAGAGTTACAAGGGTGAAGACAGGTCCTCTTTCACAGAAATTAGAAATATTCCACACAAAATAGAAAACATTGAGTGTGTGTATTTAATGTACAAATCCCAAAAGGTTCTCTCTGACTCAATATAGAGAACCAATCTCCACCCCTAACTGAACTATCAATTCTCTCTAAAATCTGTACCCATAAGGCATCCAATTTAGAATTGTGGACCAAACAAAATGATTTGTCACATTAGATTTGCTTTTTGTCTTGATAAAGTATAAATGGTCTTTAAATTAATTACATAATCTCCTCACGGTACTTCCTACGTACTGGATCCGACACTCTGTGAACATTAGACCATAAACAACATCCTGGGTGTTACAAGTGACAAGTTGTTTAATGGGAACAGACTTACATGTCTTACTCTATGTGTATCCCCCAAAAACTGGCAACAGCAACATCTTGACATACCACATTTACATCCATCCATTGCATCTATTGTGTTTATCCAAGTGGTATTTCTTTTTTTTACTCTCAAAGAGACAGGGTGACAGATATAAGGCCAAGGTGGGAGCCTTTAACAAAATCTATACCCAAATCCAATATATTGCCCACTTCAGGTCCTCGCAAAGTAAAGGTAGGTTTTTTGGAATCACTTTTGTATTTTTTTCATATGCTAAACAATACCTTGAGGGAAAAACCCATGTGTGTTCCTGTCCCGCTTGTCTCTATGAGATCATCTGCCTTCATTCCTCATCAATAAAGGCTCTCTATTCACTCTTGTTGTATATACATATGCCTCATCTGTACATCCATATGCCTAATTCATAATATTGTGGATTTGTACGGCATGTTGCAGGATGATTGTTGTTTATGTGTGGAAGGTAAAGTGACACTTTAAGAACTGTTTTTGGAATAAGGAGGAATGACTACAACAGTTTCCTTCTTTCTGGAAACAGAGGAAGCTGACCTTATCATAAGCAAATTATGACTTTTCAATTTGGCAAATTCAAGTTCCTGCCTGGTGTCTACATAACCGAATGTTTCCTTTGGCTTAACCTGTCATCAAGAATAATATCTATGGGAAACCACCACAGTAAAGGTTCTGTCATTCTCCTGTCAACATGTTTCATGAATTCTCTTCTCTTATACAACCTCCTATTAGATCAAACATGACTACCATGTGGCTCGAACCCTTGTCAGATGCCTCGTGTAGAAGTGTTGGAGCAGCTCAGTGTTCTCTGCTTTGCCTGTCTTGCATTGCCTCGTATAACCTCTCTTACAACTCTGTTTACATAACACAGCAACATAAAGCCATATAGGCGGTGGGCAGGATATTTCTGACACCATCGGACATTTGTCTTGGGTTTTACAAGGCAGAAGAATATCAGCCAGCTCGTAACCAATAAATCTCTTTAATTTCCGTGCATAAAATCCATGTGATATACAACAGGTTATTTTTTTTTCAAATAGAGTTCATGTTAAAACAAATGTTTAGTATATCCTTTCCAAAGCTGCTGTGACGTTCATAGCACTTCCATTTATTTCCCTTTCGGCTAATCCTTTGCATTTCTTACAATCCAAAAAAGAAGTACAACATAAATAAGGGGATAGACTCTGTTTTTAAACAGCGCACATAAATGTACGTAATGGTAAAATCATTTCAAAGTCATTTTTTTCGTTTAGTCACTTAGCTCATAAAAACTATGGGACGGAGTTAAGAAGACTCCATACTAACGTAATGAGGCTTATTTATTAAAAATAAAGCCAAATAAAAGTGGAGCGGTTACTCATAACCACCAGACCAGGCTGGTTCACTATTCCAGTGAATGAATGTGAAATCTGGTTGGTTGCTATTGGTAGAAGTTTATATAACCACCAGATTTGTTCACTATTCCACTGAAGGAACCATGAGACCTGACTGGTTGCTACAGTCCAGGGGTAGACATATTAATATGTAACACAGGAGCCAGGAGGATTTATTTTAAGAACCAGCTCCATTGACAACAATTAGAGAAAACCTCAAACAATAGGCACCAGCTATAACTTTTACGAAGCATTGGTTGCCTGGCTTTTGGGGTTTGTCCAGCCCTACTATAGACAACAGTTCCATTACCATAACACTTATTCACCACTCAATTACATAAATCATGAGACCTGACGGGTTGCTATAGACAACAGTTCCATTACCATCACACTATTTCACTAATTATTTGTGAAACCTGGTTATTTACTATACACAGTTATTAGAATCATCACACTGGCTTGCTACTCGAATAAATTTGGGAACCCAGTTTGGTTGCTATCTACAACGGTTCTAAAACCATCAGTTGGGTTCCCTATCTTGGTGCAGAAATTGTGAAACTTGATTACTTGCTACAAGAAGCCTCTCCACATTCATTCCAGTTTTCAAAAAGTGTAGAAAGGGGACAATTAAAATGTTTCTCAGTCTTTGTGGCAGCCATCCAAATGAAGGGCTCATTTACACCAGATACGTTATTACACAATCACCAGAACAGGCAAAATGTTTGGACATCAAATGTATTGCATTCAGAAGGGCCCGTTCCCACCATGTTGCTTCCAGGTGTGTTGGAATAAAGTCTTGCATTCTGCACTTTTTGTGCCTCTTTACCAAGCAAGTCAATTGAATAAGTCCTTCAAAATTCAATACCACGTCTGGAAATGCACATCAACAGGTATTGATTGCGTGCTTTTTTAAGCTCATCTACTGTAAAGAAGCAGTCAAGGATCACAAGATGGAAGGTCAGATCACCCACTGCTTATGTCCCTCAGGGACCCTGCACCTGACTTCTCCGGTCCCACCAACACCTGCTGCAGCCATTCGGAAGGAGTCACTGTGCCTGGTGCATGTTCCTGTTTCAGCAAGTGGAGTTGGACTCCTTCTACTGCAGCAGGAGGAGTGAGATTCCACAGTGATGTGACTTGGGGAAATCACTGGAAGATCTGACCAAGTAGATTAGCTGTTTTTAGCATACACACAGCTTTGCACAGTTACTGTTAAACACTTGTAGATAATTCCCTGAAATCTGAAACGTCAGAGTGGTTGTATGATATACAGCACTACCCTTGATATACAGGGAGCCCCTTGGTGGAGTACAGCAAATCCACCATCCAGTGAAAATTCATAGTAGAGTTTTCTTGGCCTAAAGATGGCCATACGTGCATTGATTTGTGATCAATCTAGCTGTGAGTGTTCCCAAAGAAGCGATTCATCATTGATAAAAAATATTGAACGATGCAACACATACGGTATTGATTACAAATACAACCTATCAGAGACAAAAAATGAAACGGTCATTTAATCGATCTGTATTACGATCTGTTGTCTGACACAGACACACAAATGATCATTTGATCGATCAGAAGTGATTGATAAAATTCCACCGCGGCTGAATGACTTGCCAGCATCAAAATCAATTGAAAGTCCACTATATCAATCGGATGAAGGTTTTGTGATTTACAAATGTTATTTAATTTTATCACCTTAGTTGCATCAAATGATCGATTGAATGATCATGTTGATACACGTGTGGCCACCTTGTCACGCGCAGATATGTGTCAGACTGATCAGAAAAGATTGATAACATTCCACTGCGACTGATTGACTTGCCAGCATTGAAAATGAATGATTCAAGTCTCACTAAAATGGATCAGATGGAAGGTTTGTGGTTTATGATTCTTATTTATTTGATCATTTTCGTTGCATCGAATGATCTTATCGATACATGTGTGGCCACCTTAACTCCACTTCTCCTAAACCCACTTTACACTCCAATACTCTTCTCTGATCACCGGGAAATAAATAAGATCCTGCAGATATTTTGGTGTATCTGATCCCACAATCAATACAATAACACATGTTGAACTGATCAGAAGAACTGAAGTCACCCCATGCCAGGCTGAGAATGGAGAAGAGCCATAGAGGAGTGGATGGAGAGAAGATCCAGCATGCAGAACTCCTCTGAGACAAGTAAACTTTACTTCCCAGACTCACCTTCCTCCAGCAGAGAGAATTGTACAATCTCCGGGCACACATGTGATCGGGGAAGAGACGTCAATGGGCTCCTCTCAGCCTAATCCAAAGTGTAGGGCTGACCTGGGTCACCTCTGCTAGTCCCTTCTCAGGACACCTTACTGACAAATCGTGCAGCCAGAAGTGGTGTCCGCAGCATGGACACGGCACTCATTCTTAAAGCCTGCGATCTCTTCCAGAGGAGGTAGAAGCCGCTGAATGCTCCGTCCTTGAACCCCACCGACCGATCGCTGAGCTCACTCTTTGTCCCCAGGATGGCCGGTCACTCTCAGCTCTCTGATCCGTCCTCTGCACACACAGGGGAGGTGAGATTCCCAGCAGGAGGCGAGACACACTTCACTCTCTCACACACACAAATTCTCTTTTTGTTCTGGTGACGTGTCTGCTTCTCCACTCCCCTTTCTGGAGATAATTTCACCCTGATAATGACACCCAGGCCAGTGGGCAAAATACCTTGGTGGATCTAGCTCGTTCTCATAGGTCCCTGCCTGAGACTTGTCTGCAGTCCTGTCAGTCAGCCTGGTGCTGGGGATCAGAGGGGCCTCATTCACACAGGCATTGACAAACCTACAAACTATGTCCTAGTACTCTTTAGTGGTAGTGGGACAAATGACGGAACTTGCGACAGATTTAGGGTTCGAAATGCAAAAAAAGTCACAAGCACTCCAGCGTGTAGAATAGACAATATGTGACACTATGGAAGTCGATAAATATTGTCTATTCTACACGCTGGAGTGCTTGTGACTTTTTTTGCATTTGGGACTTATGTTTCGGAGACATCCGCTGTCACTTTAAGCACCCACCCTACATCTTGGGTTTTCTCCGGTCAGGAGTGCGATGGGCTTGTACGTTTATTATATTTACGGGTCTATGCACTAAGCTGCTGTAGGCAGCTGAGTGAATAAACGACCCGAAGTGAAGTGAGTCGAACGCTGTTCGGCTATTCACTTCAGGCTTGTACGGCTGATTTCAGCTGTATATCGACTGAAATCAGCCGTACATCGGCTTGCTTCGGGTCGGCCGAACATGCCCAGCATGTTCGGCCGAAAAAAAACCGGCGGCGGGAGCCGCTATCTAATAGCGGGAGACTCCCGGAGCGTCCGGTAGAGTTGGGCTGTCTGGAGATCAGTGTCCCTGGTTACCTGGTAACCAGGGACGCTGATCTGTCTGTGCAAGTGGCCGGAGCCAGCTGTCAGATGACGGCTGGCTGAGCCCAGCAGCCAGTAGCAGGCTGTCGGCCAGCTTCGGCTTTCACCTCGGCTCAGTCTAGCCGACGCATATGCCTTCGGCTCGACTGAGACGCTCGGCCGACTTTGGGAGCTGTACGGGCTAGAGGGAATAGCCTGTACAGCAGCCTTTCGGTTCTACTGAACCGAAGGGGTCCTGGGGCCGAAGCTAGCCGAAGGATCAGCCGAAGCTACTTAGTGAATAGACCCCTTAGGGTTCGTTCACACTAGCCCACACACCCAAATGCTCAGTTTTATCGAGGGAGGTCCGGCGGGGGTGGGGTGATGCGCTGGTTTGAACATCACACTCTTTTCTTTTTTTTTAAACTTTATTTGAAGTTTACAATTTATACACTTCATTCATGTCTCCGCACAGTAGGGTGATGTGCTGCGCGCTGTAAACACATGCATGTGTATGGACATACAGCTCTTGATGCAAACAGTCTGCATTAAGGGGCGTGCATCTTTACGCATGCGCATGTGTATACAAGTACCAGCGTATACCTACAGCCATTGATTTCTATGAGCAGCTGTACGTAGCATCTGTGGCTCCCGAGTGGGGAAATACACCCACATTTTACATTGTACAGTTCCAGTTACCGGTGCAAATGAGCGTTATGACTGGGCATACACATGAATCGGCCAAAATTCTTTTAGCCGATTCAGAGTGTCGCCCTGCCGCTCAACAAAAGCCAAACAGTGACTGCAGTCAATCAGCTGTAGTCCATGTACATGCATTCTGACAGCGGTGGGCATCAGATATCAGAATGCAATAGTCATGGCAGGAGATTCATCCATCCAAGCTTTTTTTGTGTAATAAGGAAGCCGTTCGATTGTTTTTGTTCAGTCTTCAGGCTGAATGAAAAAATTCTATTAGTATGTGTCCAGTGTAAGGCTTCGTTCATGCTGCACTCCTGTGTTGAGATTACATAAACGCAGCAGCAATTATCTGGGAAGTGTAAACTAAGTTTGTGCTTCCCAACTCATATTTTCCTGTGTTTAGAAGTTCCTGCTCTAAATCAGTATATCTGCGTTTAGAGTTTCTAATCAGATTCTGAAAACAGAACTCTATTTTCTGTACACACCTAAACACTGGTAAACGTCCAGTCTGAGTGATACCATTGAAAAATCATTATCTGCATTTATATTTGTGTACAAAGAAAGGCAGCTTTGACCCTGCACGTGGGAATGAGGCCTTTATAGAACTGTCCCTAACATCTCTCTAGTGAGGTGGGGGAGCTATTTGGAGATATTTGGAAAATAATGAAAACTTATTAAAAAATAAGTTCCAGAGGAACAGAATTGTCTCAGGGCCCTGTTGTCACACCATCAAGAGTGCGTTCCAGTGCATTCGGCCTCTGGAACACAACCCTGGCGGCTCTCTTTCTTTTGGGGTGGGATGGGGGCGTGGCGGTGCTTTGAACTAAATGGCAGCGCAGCTACTCCACCCACGGTGCGATCGACAAGACCTAGCGATCACACCGTGGGCGGAGGCGTGGCTGCAGTGCCATTGAGTTCAATGCACCGCCACGCCCCCTCCCGCCCCAAACAAAAGTGAGCCGGCCAGGTTGCGTTCCAGTGCGGTCCAGTGGCTGAATGCACCAGAACGCACTCTTGATGGTGTGACAGGGCCCTCAAAGATGCAACACAATAATTACACATTCAGCACAATCAACAATTTACTCAAACATGGAAGAAGTCCTATTTACCTCCACTTTCCTTATCACTGACATAGCGATATTTCATGAATTTGTCGCGGCCATAGTGCCCTACAGTAAAAGTGTTAAGAACTACTTGAATCTTTTGCACGTGTCAGTTCTAACAATGAAAACCTTACACGATTATTATGAATTTGGCATAAGGCTTCTGACTCATTCCACCTGCATTTAACCCTTTCCTTGCCACCGACGTAAGGCTTACGGCTGAACACAACCGCTTGCAGCGGGCCACGTCGGTAAGCCTTACGTCAGTTGCTTTCACCCTTCTGCTATAAGCTTATAACTTATATGAAAAGGGTTCTCCCACCAGGAGAAAATGACAGCTGATCACTGATCACTCCAATGTTTGTAAACAATTGGGGACACATAGTACTATGTGTCCCCGGCTATGAATAAACAGGAAGTGCTTTACATCACTTCCTGTTCATTCATGACTTTCTCAATGGGTAGTAGCACTCACTACAGAGGCTTCTCCCCATTCATAACCTGTTGATAGCAAATATTTTACTATTTCCAGTTTGTGAATGAATGGGAAGCCTCTGTACTGAGTGCTTTCCATTTATTCAGTGCTTAGGCTGCAGAAAAAGAGATTGAGGACTCTGTGTCCCCAATTTCTTTTTCTATTTCAAAAAGGAAATGTGAGGGGTCACACACGCACACACACACACACACACACAAGCACACACACGCACACACACATATTATACATGTGCCACGGTACGGTGTTAGAACGCATCACAGTGCTTGATTTTTGTTCTTTTGTTTTTCTTTTTTAAATAACATTCATTTACCTTTGGCAGTGCATGGCAAAGTGTTGTGATGCATTGCCGTGCATTGTGATACGCTGTGTTGCTATTACATGTACACCTGTATCATTTTATCACAACACACTCCAACACAGCGCACAAACGATTTTTAACATAAGATGCTTATTTACAGTTTTTTGCTTTCAGAAAATATATGTTATGGGGGGTCTTTTACAAACGCTAAAAGCTGCACTTGAAAATAAAAAAAATAGGTGAAAATTAGCAAAAATGGTTTGGCCAGCTGAGGTTTAAAGTGTTCCACAGGGCTAGGCAGCAGAAGTGTTAAAATGCTTTTAACCTCAGATGGCTACACAATTTTTGAAATTTGTCCCATATTTTTGATTTTCTATTGCTGCATTGGTAGCGTTTGTAAAAGACCCCAAAGCATATATTTTCTGAAAGCATGGGCCTGGTAGAATTAAAAGATGTGCTACTCATTTTGTAGGTCCTGTGATAATTGTGCAAATGTTTATCAAATCAATATTAAACCGATAAAAATACTTTTCCAACTAAATCTAAAAGATGAAACTGTATTGAGTTAATAAATAACAAATATTTGTAAATTTTAAATTGCGCCTTTTTGTGAATTGGTAAAAAAATGAAGGAACACAAAATAGTAAATAAGCGACTTATGTTAAAAATCGCACTATCCAGAGAATTCCAATACTTCAGACTTTATGGATATTCACAGCAAATCCAGTATAACAGTGAATAAAAGGGTACAAAGCAGCAAATGAGGTCTGTTCGTATACTACTGCATTCCAAGGTGGAGACGCAGCTATTATACCAGCACCTGGGGAGAAAAATGTAGGCCGTCATTGCTGATCTCTCTTCTGAAAATGTTTTTTTGCCACTGCTGACCGCATGACTTCAATAGTCTGAGTCACTGACCTGCAAGAAGTATGCACATAAGGACTTTTCTCTGACTTCATCTGCACATCTTGTCCTGGGTCAAAAACTAAAGCTGGCCATGCATGCATAGAATTAATTTGTTCAGCCTATAGACTGAATTAAAGAATTCCAACAAATTCCTCCATCCATGTTAAACAACATCTCCCCTGACGGTCGCTTGTATTCTGACAGCTGGTGCCCACCACTATCAGAATAGCCAAACAGTGCCTATATCTGAGTGGATGTAGGGATTATTTGGCTGATAATTATTCACCTGGCTCCTTCGACAAAAGTCAACTGAAAAATCAGGTTTTTTTCTCAACTGGGTGGTCTTGGCAAAGCCACCCACATATCAGATTTCAGCCTATTCAGCAGGAATCAGCCATAATTCGTCCTGTGGCTGACCAGCTTCAAAAAGTGTTAAAAACCAGTATTTTAATATACCAGCCAGGCAAATAGCATTTT